TCAGTCTGCCTTGTTTCACAGCTTGGCCTTATCTGGGGACTTCCAAGCCCAATATAATTAGCAGCCATCAACAAATCATCCTGTAGCTCCTGCCTGGTGACCCCATGAAGTAGGTGATTTTGTAACTCCCAGGAGGCCCCAGAGCTAGTGTAGTGCACCTGGTGGAAAGCTTTAGACCACACCAGACTCTACACAACCACAAGCAACACACTCAAGGAACATACACAGTGAACACCAAAGCCCCACTGAGCCAAGTCCTGCTCTAAAGGGCTATCTACTGCATAGCAGCTCTTCCACTGTAGTTGTAGCTAACCTGGAGGTCAGCTCCTCCCAGTGACGCCAACAGCAATCAAGGCTCAACTACAACAAGACTTTGCACATAACCCAAACAGGGACACACTTAGAGTGGTTATCTCAGGTGACTGGGGAGGCTGAGCCACTGGGCCCTACAGGACACCTACTACACAAGGCCACTCTACCAATCCAAGAGACATAGCAGCTCTACCTAATACATAGAAACAAACAAGAGAAGAAGCCAAAATGTGGAGACAAAGAAACATATCACAAATAAAAGGACAGAAGAAATTTCCAGAAAAAGAATTATATGAAATGGAAACAAGCAAACTACTGGATACAGAGTTCAAAACAATGATTATAAGGTTGCTCAAGGATCTTAATAAGAGCTTCAAGGGACTAAATGCGAGCTTCAAGGGACTTAGTGAGACTTTCAAGGAAATGAAAAAGGACCAGTCAGAAATTAAGCATATACTAATTGAAATAGAGAATAATTTACAGGGATTAAAGAGTAGAGTAGAAGATTCTGAGAATCAATGAGGAAGAAAAAACACCCAACCAGAAGAGAAAAAAGAAAAAAGTATTCAAAAATGTGAATATAGTGTAAGGAGCTTCTGGGACAACTTCAAGAATACCAACATTCACATTATGGGGGTGCCAGAAGGAGAAGAGAATGAGAAAGATACTGAAAACCTATTTGAAGAAATAATGACTGAAAACTTCCCCTACCTGGTCACGAAATAGACTTACAAGTCCAGGAAGCACAGAGAGTCCTAAACAAGAGGTACCCAAAGAGGCCCATACCAAGACACATCATAACTAAAATGCCAAGAGTTAAAGACAAAGAGACAATCTTAAAAGCAGCAAAAGAAATGCATTTAATTATCGACAAGGTAGCTCCCATATGACTGTCGGCTGATTTCTCAACAGAAACTTTGCAGGCCAGAAGGGAGTGGCAGGAAATACTCAGAGGGATGAATAGCAAGGACCTACAACCAAGATTACTCTACCCAGCAAAGATCTCATTTAGAACGGAAGGTCAGATAAAGAGCTTCACAGACAAGAAAAACCTAAAAGAGTTTATCACCACCAAGCCAGTATTACGTGAAATGTTGAAGGGTATTCTTTAAAGAGAAGAAGAGGAAGAGGAAGAGGACAGAGAAGGAAGAGGAGGAGGAGGAGGAAAAGGAGGATGAAGAGAAGAAGAAGCAGAAGAAGAAGAAGAAGAAGAAGAAGAAGAAGAAGAAGAAGAAGAAGAAGAAGGAGGAGAAGAAGAAGAAATAAATACTAGTATATGAACAGTAGTATGGCAATAAATACATATCTATCAATAATTGAATCTAGAAAGTAAAATAAATGAACAAGGAATCTAATGAACAAATTAAACTGATGAATAAAATAGAACCAGAGGCATTGAAACATGGAACAGGCTGATGAATCTCAGAGGGAACAGAGGGAGGTGGGAAGAGATTAACCAAAGATCTTATATGCATATATGCATTAGCTATGGACACAGACAATAGGGTGGTGAAGGCCTCGGGTGGAGAGTGAACTAGATGGAGGAGGCAATGGGGGAAAAAGGGGGACATCTCTAAAACTCTCAACAATAAAGATTTAAAAATATAAACAAAAAAATAACCAGTAATAACCCCCTCCCCCCATAAAACAGTTAATTAGTGAAGATTACACTAGAGGAAATCAGTTACTGTTAACTAAATGTTTCACAAAATTATTATTTTTTCTATATTTTTTATAATTACTTCTAAAATAATCTGTTTACCTTTAACATATTGTTAACTTTTTTTTAATCTGGGAAAATACTGATTTCCTTAATTTTTTAAGGCAGTAACAGTTAGAGATAATACACAAAATACTGGTCATCTAAAAGCAGCATATAGTCCAGAATTATCTAGAAGAGCTATATGAAAATATAGTAAACCTTTCCTAGAGTCTGGCCCTATCATTGTTATATCAGTTTATTCTCTAATCCCAGTAACAGTGGGCATGTAGAAGGGCTCATTTTTATTGATAAAAGGAAATCAGTTTATCCTGACAACTAATATCCTAGGATACTATATTTTCCCGATTTGTGTCATCTATTGCAACTTGTGAATTTTTCTCTTCTGAGTTCCTTACATCCATTGAATTTAGCCCATATTTTGTGCACTCCCCAGGAATCAGCATATCACTTGATTAGAAAAGTAAATAATATTATGAACATAATATTTTACTTATGTGCTCCTGCATCAGGAGGGTGAGAAGAGGATAAAGACAGGTGGGACTTCTAGATTTCTGTCTTCCATGCAATGTTGATTCTAGCTTTATAATTTATAGAAAGCTCTGTTCTTCACCTATTTCCAAGGTAGAATTATTGGTAACTTTACTGAACATTTCAAATTGTTATTGTGAGGAGCAATGGTCCTTCCATAATTGAGTATAGCATGGAAGATTACACCTTCTTTTCTGAAAATATTTTTCATACTATTTTCAAAGTGCTGGATTCTATATAAAGATTGTTTTCAAAAGAATATAGTATCCATTGAAAGAAAATTGATCAACTGGTCCTTCTTAATATAAAAATAAGAAAATATTTTTGATAATCATTCTTATTTGATAGTAAGAAGAATACCTATTTCTTTATGACAGAATGAAAGGATTAGAGCTACTATATATTGTGACTATCTGAAGGGTTGGATTCCAAATATTCCATTTTATTTTCCTTTAGAGTCTCTCTGTTTTATTGCATCCAGGAGATACAAGAGTTGATGTGACTTTTGTGCTTGAAAATAAATTCATTAAATGTAATAGAAAATATATTGAGAAAATTAGACATTGGATATTTTGTAATCAAATTGCTCAACTGCCACAGTTGCAAGGTCACACAACTTCACCTCACCAGTCAGAGAGGGAGAAGGAATTAGGGTTCAGATCTCTGTTTTTTATGTAACATGTGGCACTTATTCTCCAAATGAGAAACTCCAAAGCAAGGCACAAAGATTTCCACTTTATAATCTTTAGTGTAGTGGTATTTGTTATTCTATGGCCTATGTCAGTACTTTATTTGCTTTTCCAGTAGCTAAGTAGTAAGAAACAGGTAAGGACAACAAGCAAGTTCTCAGTATGGACTGCAGTTAGGAAGATGGAAAAGGTGTTATGAGTTTTAAAAATGAATTTGGTTTTGACAAAATTTTCAGGATTATCCTGAGGAGTCATGAGATTGTATTGACATTTTAGGGAAGCAATGGGAAAAATACAGGATTATGGGAGAATGATTGCTTTTTTTGTATTTTAATATGCCACTTAATACTCATTCTTGGAGCTATAAAACAAAAATAGTCCCCTCAGTTCTAGTGAAACAGGAGGGACACAGTTCACCAACTCTGGCAGGTTTTAAAATGCTGCCGATTGGATGAACAAAGTGATTTCAGCCTACGTAAAATATAGGTGGTGGGTAGCTTGACTTTGAAAACCTTTTAAAATAATATATTTTTATTGATTTCAGAGAGGAATGGAGAGGGAGAGGTAGAAACATCAATGATGAGAGAGAATCATTGATCAAACTACCTCCTGCACACCTCATATTAGGGATCAAGCCCACAATCCGGGCATGTGCCCCGACTGGGAATCAAACTGTAACCTCCTGGTTCATAGGTCAACGCTCAACTACTGAGCCATGCAAGCCAGGCTGAAAAGATTTTCATCCACATAAAACTTGAAGGAATATTGAAAGAAAGATAACACTTTATATCCTGTCCTATTTTTGCAATGAATAAAACTATTTACTTCCGCCCTAAATATTATAAACTTTCCTACACATTTAATTATCTTTATTTCTTTTCTCCATTTACATGAATGAAGCATTCTATCCTTTACTCCTGTTAAGACCAGTCAACCTCAGGTCCTTAGTTTATTTATTGTACTACTTCTTTCTATATCTTTAACCTCTCCTCTTTGTGGGCTCTTTTGCAGTAAAAGACATACATTCATAAATGAGCTATATGTAATTTAATTGTAACAATATTTACTCTTGGCTCTGTCTGCTTATGATAAAATCCTCCCCCAACAACTAGGCAGTAATATCACATTGGGAAAATTATTTAACCTATTTGCCCCTCAGTTTTCTTATCTGTAAAACATGTATATTAATAATGATTATTGTAAGAATTATTTTAATTCATATACTTTGAGTACTTAATATTATGCTAAGCATTTCATACTTAACAGTGTTATGAAATAAAATAAAATAAAATACATGTATGGATCTTGATGCCTACATTCCTCAGTCTCCATGTTACTTCGCTTTCCCATTCACCATCAGTTTACTTTCTAACCTGAATGCTACTTTATGAGAATTGTTTACACATTTTGTCGTATTTATTTTAATTTTTTTAATTCTCTATTGTTGAAAGTTTTATATATTACATATGTCTTACTTTTCCCCCATTGACCTCTCCCAGCTGGCTCCCCCTCCCAAAACAGGCCCTCACCCCCCTATTGTCATCTTATTTTCTTATCTCCCATATTGTAATGTAGTTTCTGCCCCCACCATTTCCCTGAAATAAGTTATACCAGGTTCAGCAACAAAATCTGATAAAAATGTATCAGTAGTTTTTGTTTACATGGCCTAGAATTTATTGCTATTCTACTTCTTCTACTAAAACTATTCTTACGGTTCCTGACTTATACAATTCAGGTTTTTTACTTACCTTCTATTTGTTGTACTCAGTATCTCCTTTTCTCTTTCTGTTATGGCAGCCTCTGTCTGTCTAGTAAATAGAAGTATTCATTATTCATTCACTAACTCAGTTAATAATAATCAAAAACCTTCTAAATCACTGTTGTTAGTTTCTCTGGATGCCTCATCATTTCTCTTTGTTCCCTTCATTATCCACACTTTTTATAAGTATGCTTTTCATTAAAATTTCCATATTTGGATAATTTGGAAGGAACATTGTTATTCACAGGGAAACTGAGTTATTCTGAGTTGGAATAGTCCCTTTAGTGTAGTTAACAAGAAAATGCACCATTAATTGTCTATCATGTTAAAAGAGGGCTCAAAGCTTATTAGGCCCATTTTAAATATGGAAACTATGCCATATGTGGGTATGTGAGCATAACCTATTCAAGAAGTAACCTGTAAGTTAATTTTTTAAATTCATCTAGGACATTAGTGTTATCTACTGAATGTCCTGGATGCATTAAATTCATTATGACTTTGAACATATTACTTTATGTGCTGTCTGTGGCAGATAGAAATACCAGAGCAGTGATGGCGAACCTATGACACGCGTGTCAGAGGTGACATGCGAACTCATTTTTTGGTTGATTTTTCTTTGTTAAATGGCATTTAAATATATAAAATAAATATCAAAAATATAAATCTTTGTTTTACTATGGTTGCAAATATCAAAAAATTTCTATATGTGACAGGGCACCAGAGTTAAGTTAGGGTTTTTCAAAATGCTGACACCCCGAGCTCAAAAGGTTCACCATCACTGTACTAGAGTGATGTCAGCATCATGGCGAAGTTAGATGATCCCCTTATACCTCCTCTTAAGTCCACAATAAGTTGGTCGTATATAACCTAACAAAGGTTTCTCTGCTCATCAGGGCACCTGTGGGATCCACACATCAGTTTACCTGAAGGTGGGTGTATTGGAATGCATAGTTAAGCAACACAGGGGAAGGACAAGGATGGTACACACAATCCCGGTTCCATGGCTTTCCACAGATGAGCTGGCAGACCCAGAAAAGGCAGTAGGGGAAGAAAGTGTCAGGGAGTAGCCTTGACACCATCACGGGTGGAGGATAAGAGGCGCAGCAACAGCTCTGGAGCCTATGAATTCAGCTCCCTCCCCAGATTGCAGTGATGCTCCCCTTACTTTGCATTACTGGGTAGCCTGGTCCCAGGAGATGTCTCTCTGACATCCTGCTCACAGTACAGTGGTGCCAGAAGCTGATGGAAACCAGGTAGCAGGATGGCAGGCTCACGAACCTGATTACCCTTCGACCTGCCACATCTCCCCCTACCATGGTGGTATGACCCAAGAAACAGGTAACCCAAGCACAGAAGGTACCTTTATACTTGGCAGCTCCTCCTCTGCTCAGGGTTCTTTAGTTGGTGGTGTGATCTAAACCTTTATTCACTCAAAATCAATGTGACCTGTTTTTATTGGTTTGTTACAGCTTTCTACTGACTTTTATTATTGGACATCAGAGTATTCAGTGGTGCCCTACTAATCTGCATCTCATCCATTTAATCTCTACCAGAGCTCAGTAAAAATCCAGGAGCTGTTTCTCAAATGCAGAAGAATAGTCAGGAAAATATGGTGTGGCTTTACTTCCAAATCCTGATTCCCATATTAGGATGTGTCAAAGATTTATTTAGTATTTGTTGATTTATTAAATTTAGATAACATTGGTTAATAACATAAAGTTCAGGTGGACAACTACATTATAATTTGATATCTGTGTACTCTATTACATGCTCACTACCAAAAGTCTAGTTCTTATCTGTTACTATATATTTGATCCCCTTTACCATTTTGCCCTTCCCTCACCTATTTTCCCTCTGGTAATTCCAATTCTATTGTCTGTTTCTATGATTTTTAAAAAATATATATATTTTTATTGATTTCAGAGAGGAAGCGAGAAGGGTAGAGAGATAGAAACATCAATAATGAGAGAGAATCACTGATCGCTGCTTCCTGCACATCCATCACCAGGGATCGAGCCCACAACCCTGGGCATGTGCCCTGACCCAGAATCAAACTGTGACTTCCTGGCCCATAGGTCAATGTGTAACCACTGAACCATGCCATCTGGGCTATGAGTTTTTCTTTTTCTATGTTTTGTTATATTTGTTCATTTGTTACTTTTTGTCTTATATTCCACATATGAATGAAACCACATGTAATGAATTTATACTTGTAGAACATAGAGACTGGAAAAAATTACAATGATCTTACATTCAGAGTATATGAGTTTTTTTGTAGGAAATGATTTCTTTGATTATATAGTATTATTACTAAATTATGAATACCAGTGATTTTTAAATATAATGAATTGACATTTAACTTTCAGATTATCAATTGTACTGGCCTTTAAAAATCTCATTAAAATTAATAAAACAATTTTTCTATAATTCTTTATTTCTCTTAAAATAATCTCTTTACTTTTAAAACATTACTGACATCTTCACTTATTGGGGAAAAAAATCATTCCATTGGTTATCCTTATTGTCTAAAGAAATGCTCAGAGAAACAGAAGGCACAAACTTCCACCAGCAAAAAGGTTACAACTCAAGAGACAACCAAGATGGCGGCATAGCTAAACACATGAACTTGCTGTCACACACAACCACGTTAAAACTACAACTAAAAGAAAAAACGAATATCATCCAGAACCACCGGAAGGCTGGCAGAGTGGAAATTCTACAACCAGAAGGAAAGAGAAAAGTGCATTGAGTCCAGTAGGAGGTGCAGAGGTGTGGAAGTGTGGAGGTATGGAGGCATGCACAAAAGGGGCTGGCAGCCGGGTACACTGTTGTCTTTTTCAATTGGGAGGGAGATACAAGCTCCTGAATGCTCTGAACTTCAGTTCTGGGTGAGAATTTGGGGACCCAGACTCATACAGAGAGAAACTGGACTGTCTGGCATTGGGTCTAAATGTGAGGGTGGCTTTCTCGCAGAGGTGCTTGCAGCGTTCATTGTTCCTGCACGGGCGCACATGAACTTGCTGTCACACACAACCACGTTAAAACTACAACTAAAAGAAAAAACGAATATCATCCAGAACCACCGGAAGGCTGGCAGAGTGGAAATTCTACAACCAGAAGGAAAGAGAAAAGTGCATTGAGTCCAGTAGGAGGTGCAGAGGTGTGGAAGTGTGGAGGTATGGAGGCATGCACAAAAGGGGCTGGCAGCCGGGTACACTGTTGTCTTTTTCAATTGGGAGGGAGATACAAGCTCCTGAATGCTCTGAACTTCAGTTCTGGGTGAGAATTTGGGGACCCAGACTCATACAGAGAGAAACTGGACTGTCTGGCATTGGGTCTAAATGTGAGGGTGGCTTTCTCGCAGAGGTGCTTGCAGCGTTCATTGTTCCTGCACGGGCGAAGGACACAGATCCCGGGACCTCTCCAAGGCAGAGCAGACTGGAAGCCATTGCAGTTTGCTCCACCCTGGTGATTCCCTGAGACCCTGCCCCACTCAATTTACAACCCCACCCAAGCTGTGCGTAGAGGCTTTTGCATACGAATGGCCTGGCCTTTCTCCACCTAAAAACCTGTCAAACTGTAGCTGGGTCAGAGAACCCCAGAGCTTCCAAAAGAAGGCCTAAGGCTCATTAGTAGCCTGCATTACTTCACAGCTGCACCTCATCTGGGCACCTCCAAACCCCAAACAAAGAGGAGGAATCTGCAGATCTCTCTGTAGCTCCTGCTGGGTGGCCTCAGGCAGTGGCTGACTTTGCATCTCCTTGGAGATACAAGAGCCACTCTACCCAGTGGTCAGAGTGAGACCATTCAGATTACAACTCTCCACATCCATAAGAGACACACTCAGGGGACAGACTTAGTGAGTGCTGAAGCCCCACTGAATCATGTCCTGCCCCATACGGGTGTCTCCAGCACAGACATTCTCCCACTGTAGACACAACTGGTCCGCACAGCCAATTGACCTGGAGGTCAATTCCTCCCAGTGATACCAACAGCAATCAAGGCTTAACTACAACAAGCCTGTGCACACAGCCCACAAAGGGGTGCACCAAGAGTGTCCACCTCAGATGACTGGGAAGGCTGAGCCACTGGGCCCTATAGGACACCTAGCACACAAAGCCACTCTATCAACACAGGGAAGCAGCCAAAATGCAGAGACAAAGAAACAGGTCACAAATGACAGAAATGGAGGAAAGCAAACTACTGGATATAGAGTTCAAAACCACAGTTATAAGGTTACTCAAGAATCTTCTAGAAACCTCCGAGAAATATAGTGCGACCCTCAAGGATATGAAAAAGGACCAATCAGAAATTAAGCATACACTAACTGAAATAAAGAATAATATACAGAGATCCAACCAGACTAGAGGATGCCAAGAATCAAGTCAAAGATTTGAAATACGAAGAAGCAAAAAACACCCAACTGGAAAAGCAAAAGGAAAAAAAGAATGCAAAAATATGAAGATAGTGCAAAGAGCCTCTGGGACAACTTCAAGCATACCAACATCCGAATTATAGGGGTTCCAGAAGAAGAGAGAGAGCAAGATATTGAAAACCTATTTGAAGAAATAATGACAGAAAACTTCCCCTACCTGGTGAAAGAAATAGACTTCCAAGTCCAGGAAGCGCAGAGAACCCCAAACAAAAGGAATCCAAAGAGGACCACACCAAGACACATCATAATTAAAATGCCAAGAGCAAAAGACAAAGAGAGAATCTTAAAAGCAGCAAGAGAAAAAAAGTCAGTTACCTACAAAGGGGTACCCATATGATCGTCAGCTGATTTCTCAACAGAAACCATGCAGGCCAGAAGAGAGTGGCAAGAAATATTCAAAGTGATGAATAGAAGCCACAACCAAGATTACTCTACCCAGCAAAGCTATCATTCAGAATTGAAGGTCAGATAAAGAGCTTCACAGAGAAGAAAAAGCTAAAGGAGTTCATCACCACCAAACCAGTATTAAATGAAGTATTAAAGGTATTCTTTAAGATGGGGAAGAAGAAAAAAGATAAAGATAAAAAATTATGAACAACAAAGTGACAACAAATACATATCTATCAACAAGTGAATCTAAAAATCAAGTGAATAAAAAATCTGACAAACAGAATAAACTGGTGAATAGAATAGAATCAGAGGCATAGAAAGGGAGTGGACTGACAATTCTCGGGGGGAAAGGGGTGTGGGGGGTACGGGAAGAGACTGGACAAAAATCGTACACCTATGGATGAGGACAGTGGGAGGGGTAAGGGCATAGGGTGGGGTGGGAACTGGATGGGGGGAAAAAGAGGAACAACTATAATAATCTGGATAAAGATTTATTAAAAAAAATAAATGTTCAGAACTGTCCCTTGTATATAAAAGGCATGCAAGAAATATTTGTTGATTAAAGTCAAAACAGGCATAATTGTTTTGTAGAACTTGTTATGGACTGAATTGTGTAACACTCTCAAATTTATATATTGAAGCCTTAACTCCCAATGTGACTATTGTTGGAGATAAGACCTTTAACAAGATATTTACAATCAAATTAGGTCATGAAGGTAGACTCTAATAGCAGAAGACTTTGTAGTCTTGTAAGAAGAGCAAGAGACATAAGGCATCTTTTTCTTACCAGGGGCATACAGAGGAAAGACCATGAGAGGAAAAGGGTGAAGTTTGCTCTCTGCAGTCAGCAAGGAGACCTCACCAGAAACCAGCTCTGCTGGCATCTTTATTTTTTAATATATCTTTATTGATTTCAGAGAGGAAAGGAGAGGGAGAGAGAGATATAAACATCGAAGATGAGAGAATCATTGATTTGTCATCTCCTGCACGCCCACTACTGGGAATTGAGCCTGCAACCTAGGCATGTGCCCTAACGGAAATTGAACAGTGACCTCCTACTTCATAGGTCCATGCTCAATCACTGAGCCACCACAGCCAGGCCCTGCTGGCATCTTGATCTTGTATATCTAGCCTCCAGAATTGTGAAAAAATAAATTTCAGTTGCTTATGCTCCTGAATCTGCAGTATCTTGTTATGGCACCTGAGCAGACTAACTGCAGAAAATAAACTAGGTATAGAGCAAAAATAAAGTTATTCTCAAAACATAATAACCCGGATTGGAGAGAGTTCAGGCTGGGCTTAGGGGACCCCCCCCCATGCACGAATTTTGTGCACCGGGCCTCTAGTTGAGTTTATAAAGGGCAAAGAAAGTTCAATCTTAATCTATTTGTTAAATGAATGCAAAGCTGATTCAAATATGAACATTTGCCTTTTATTAGTTTTTTGCATTGATAAATATTTACTATAACACTTATGGTCAAGGAGAGCTACTAAAATCTTCTTGGCATAATAAGTAATTGATGAATTTAAATTTGTAGATGATAGAGACTGAAACAGAATATAATGATCATATATTCCCAGTAAATGTTTGTTTTGTTGACAAAACTAAACCTTTGATGATAGTGATTAAATATTATGAGCATTAGTGATTTTTAAATATGATAAATTGACATTTCACTTCTTTATTAATTGAACTGTTAATTAAAATTTTTATAAAATTAATAAATTATTTATATTTAGTATTATTATTTCCTCTAAAAGTGATTTGCTTACTTTTAACATATTGCTACATTCTGTCCTGTAGAAAAAATGACTAATTGATCTCTTTTGTTTGAAGGCCCTTGCACAAGAAGGTACCCAATATACTTATTGACTAAAGGTGGAATGTGAGCCAAGATTATGCATGTGTTCAGTGGAAATTTGTAGACCTATCCTAATGTGATGTGCCATCCAAGTTATTATCATTTCATGCTCTGACTCCAGTAACATTGGGAAAGCAGAAAAAAAATCAATACTATTCTTATAACATACTAATCTTCTATGATGTTTCTCTGATTTGTATGTTCTAGGTGAATTTGTGAATTTTATTCTTCCATGTTCCCTACATCCATCAAACTTAGCTCTCATTTTGTGTGTTCCTCAGGATTTAGCATATTGTTAGTCAGCATACCACTTAGGGTTAAAAAATAATGATAATATTGTGTATAGAATCTACATAAAACTATTAGTGTCTCTGTGTCAGGAAAGTGAGAGGAAGAGGGTAAAGTCATCTGGCAAAAGACAAAGGAAGAACAGGACATGCTCACTAGTTGATGGTATTGTCAAATTTTAGGCTTTATCTGTAGGCTAAAGGAGAGAAATGGGAATTTTGAAGACATGATGAAGATGATATGTTTTCATGAAGGTCATTGTGGCTAAACTAAACAGGATTGCCCACGCAGACCTGTACCACCCTGAGAATGATCTATTCCCTCTTTTTCTTGTTTCCTGTTCTACCAAATTTTTGACAAGAAAATAAGCAACATTTTGTGACCAAAAATATAGCAGTTGCCACACAGGCCAGCAGGAACCCAATGACATCCAAAGAGTGGTACTGGACCCAGGTGAGGTTGTGAGCAGCTGGCCGCAGGTGTTTGGCTCCTTTGTGGCGCATGACAAACTCAATCCAGAAGACCGCTCGATCCAAGGGCTTTACAGGTTGATCATGGTGAATTCTTGATAACCTCATAGCATTCTCTTTATAGCTGTTAGACAAAGACAGACAGAAATTAGAGCTTTGTTTTCATTGAAGTTGTAAGTATATGATACCTTTGCCTAACATGTTATTCATAGATGTGTTGAGGAAACATTTAATTCTAGTTGTGACACGAACTTTGCTGATGGAATGGTATTTTAAAAGTTGTAAAGGGGAGGGTATGGAAGAAATAAATTTTTGACACAATGTAAATTGTTTTACATTTGGTCAAATGTAAACATAGAAAAAAGGAATAAGCCTCATTTTGTTTTCAAGAAGGAAATTTAATATTGCTTGAAGTGTGATTTTTAAGGACTCCTCTAAGGCCAAGATTGTGGCTAACCCATATTGTGGGAAAACATCCATTAAAAATCATAAGCATGGACCCTATTGTCTGACTAATTAATAATGATAGGCACAAGAAATTGGTAGTGAACATAGATTAGTTATTTTTCCAGAGTCTGAGATTCCTCCATTGCACATACTTGTGTGTTTGTGATGCAAAGGACATTGTCTCTATTGGCAATGTCAAAATTGGATGAAGGTACTAGGGTAATTTTAGAAATGGCAAGGAGATGGAATTTGAGTTTTCAAGGTAAATAGAAATAAATTTCTAGAATTTGAGCCCCTAACTATTATGGAATCATAGTAATCAGAGTTATAGAGCTAATATCTCTAATGGTCTCTCAAAACAATATTGGGTGTAGGGATGTAGTTGAATGGGAATTTGTGTCTTCACTTGACATTTTGTGGCTGAGGCAGAATTAGTATATTTCTCTCTGTTTCTGGAAACATGAAGATGACAGAAGGTAAGTTGTTTTTGAAAAGATGTCATAGTGTGAGCAGGACACTGTTGGGATTGGGGAAGGAGAAATGAGGTCATCCTCACTCAGCAGTGAATGTGGTACAATAGATCCAGCAGCAAGGGGTACTGTGCTCTTTTTTTGTGCATAACAAGAAAGAATAATCATCTACACTTTTAATGGAATTAAAATATAAGTAGGGTCAAAACAGAAATTTCACATGGTTTGCTTAAATACATTTAAGGTAAACTACACTGGTGATAAAAGCCTATCTCTCCAAATCATTCAAACTTTTTACCATTTATAGATAGATATTTAATATTGAAATTCACATATATCTTATAGATAAACTTGCAATAAGAAGTTAAGGGTTATGAATAAGAGATCAAAAATTGATTGTAAAATAAAAAGAAGTGATAAACAATATAGGTGAGCTGTTGAAATATTATTAAATATAGCACATAAAAGATAAATTAGAAACAGTGAGCAATGCTCATGTTGAAAAAGTGAATATACAAATTTATGGACAATTTGAGGCAATTTCAGAGAAATAAAAATTGATTAGAACAATTAGAAAATGATAAAGATGGAAAACAATTAAAAATATTTTAACACTATGCATACATATATTAATTCTTAACTTTGATGAGATCTTTCAGAGAAAAATAACTAAGATATAACTATATATATCTACAGTTAAATATAGGTAATAGATTCATTTTAATTTGTCTTTAGTTAAAATAGGTAAAATTTAAAGTTTTGTTTAAAAATTCATACAATCTATATTTATAAAGTTATTAACTATTCTAGCTCTCCTTCTGTATATATACATATGCTAATGGTACGCATTTAGTGTTAATGATGGTTATTTTTGAATGATTAATATTTGGCAAATTATCATTTCTATTTTTATACTTACTGAACAGTTATCTATACTAATAAAAGGGTAATATGCTAATTAGACCAGGAGACCTTCCGGACATCCTTCCTGAGAATGCCAAGGTGGCGGGGAAGAGGCAGAGTGGTTAGGGGTGATCAGGCCAGGAGGGGAGGGCAGTTGGGGGTGATCAGGCTGGCAGGAAGGGGGGCAATTGGGAGTGAGCAGGCTGGCAGGGGAGTTCAGATTGGGCCTAAACTGACAGTCAGACATTCACTGAGCGGTCCCAGATTGGAGAGGGTGCAGACCAGGGTGGGCAGGGCAGTTGGGAGTGATCAGGCTAGTGAGGGGGCCAGTTGGAGGTGAGCAGGCTGGCAGGGGGGGCAAGTTGGGGATGAGCAGGCTGGCAGTGGGGGGAAGTTGGGGGTGATCAGTCTGGCAGGGGCGTTCAGATCGGGCCTAAACCAACAGTTGGCCATCCCCTGAAGGATCCCAGATTGGGGAGAGTGCAGGCTGGACTGAGAAACACACCCCCACCGTGCATGAATTTTGTGCACTGGGCCACTAGTCTACACTAATAAAATAGAAACATGCAAATTAAGCATCACTCTGCCACTTCACTACACCCACCAGCCAATTAGAGGAACTATGCAAATTAACCCAACAAAGATGGCGGTTAATTTGCATACACAGGCACAGAGCAAAGTCTGAAGATGACTGAAGATGGTGGTGGCAATGGAGCTAGAGCGAGCAGGAGGCTTGGGTTGCTCCTGGTAATGGAGAAAGCCAAGCTTCCCGCTGGCCCTGTACTCCACTCAAGGAGGGGCTGGGGACCTGGGTCCCTGGGGGCGACCCAGGCCTCCAGCCCACCCTGGGCTCTGCTCAAGGAGAGGCTAGGGGCCTGGGTTGCCGGGGCAGACCCAGCCTTCCAGCTAGCCCTGGTCTCCACTCAAGGAGCTGGAAAAAAAAAAAAAAAGAGGGGCTGAGAGCAGCCAGAGCAGAAAAGCCAAGCCTTGCTGCTGCGGCTGGACCAAAGGCCTGGGTCCCGGATGCCAGAGGAAAACAGGTGCTGGCAGCCAGGGGAAGGAAGGCCTATTGAGTGAATCTTCGTGCAACGGGCCACTAGTAATATATAAAGAAGCAGATATATTTATAAAAGTAAGCAGATGAGCATTGTCCAGTGTGGTTCAGTTGGTTGGGTGTTGTCCTGTGTACCCAAAGGTTGCTGATTCATTTCCTCATCAAGTGCCTCAAAATATCTGAGAATTTTTATCATTAACATTATTTTGGAAAAAAAACCCCACTTTGATAGATACTTGAAATCTGAGGATTTTTGCAATTTTAGCAAATCACTTCATCAATTTGGGGAATGAAATAATAAAATGGTGTTTATGTTAGTCACCTTATGGTTATTATTTCAAAACTAGAGGCCCAGTGCATGAAATTCGTGCATGGGGCAGGGGGAGGTATGTGTGTCCCTCACCCCAGCCTGCACCCTCTCACAATACAGGACTACTGGCTCCCAACCTCTTGCCTGCCTGCCTGCCTGCCTGCCTGACTGCCCCTAACCACTCTTCTGCCAGCCTGATCAATACCTAACTGCTCCCTTGCCGGCCCAATTGCCCCTAACTTCCCTCCCCTGTTGGCCTGGTCTCCCCTGACTATCCTACCCAGCTGGCCTGGTTGCCTCCAACTGCCCTCCACTGCTGGCCCGATCACCCCTAACTGCCCTCCTTGCCAGCCTTGTCACCCCTATCTGCCCTCCCCTGCTGGCCTGGTTGCCCCCAGCAGCCTTCCCCTGCTGGCCTGGTCACCCCTAACTGTCCTCACCTGCCAGCCTGGTTGGCCCCAACTGCCTTCCCTGCAGACCTGGTCACCCCTAACTATCCTCCCCTGTAGGCCTGGTTGCCCCTAATTGCCCTCCCCTGCAGTCCTGGTTGCCCCTAACTGTCCTACCCTGAAGGCTGGGTTTCCCCCAACTGCCCTCCCCTGCTGGCCTGATTTCCCCTTTCTGCCAGCCTGATCAATACCTAACTGCTCCCTTGCCGGCCCAATTGCCCCTAACTTCCCTCCCCTGTTGGCCTGGTCTCCCCTGACTATCCTACCCAGCTGGCCTGGTTGCCTCCAACTGCCCTCCACTGCTGGCCCGATCACCCCTAACTGCCCTCCTTGCCAGCCTTGTCACCCCTATCTGCCCTCCCCTGCTGGCCTGGTTGCCCCCAGCAGCCTTCCCCTGCTGGCCTGGTCACCCCTAACTGTCCTCACCTGCCAGCCTGGTTGGCCCCAACTGCCTTCCCTGCAGACCTGGTCACCCCTAACTATCCTCCCCTGTAGGCCTGGTTGCCCCTAATTGCCCTCCCCTGCAGTCCTGGTTGCCCCTAACTTGTCCTACCCGAAGGCTGGGTTTCCCCCAACTGCCCTCCCCTGCTGGCCTGATTTCCCCTAACTGTCCTATCCTGCAGGCCGGGTTGCCCCCAACTGCCCTGCCCTGCCCTGCTGGCCTGATTGCCCCTAACTGCCCTCCCCTTCAGTCCTGGTTGCCCCTAACTGTCCTACCCTGCAGGCTGGGTTGCCCCTAACATCCCTCCCCTGCTGGCCCAGTTGCCCCTAACTGCCCTCCCCTGCAGGCCTGGTCCCCCACAACGGCCATCCTCTGCAGGCCTGGCAGCCTGGTTGGCCCCAACTGCCTTCCCTGCAGACCTGGTCACCCCTAACTATCCTCCCCTGTAGGCCTGGTTGCCCCTAATTGCCCTCCCCTGCAGTCCTGGTTGCCCCTAACTGTCCTACCCTGAAGGCTGGGTTTCCCCCAACTGCCCTCCCCTGCTGGCCTGATTTCCCCTAACTGTCCTATCCTGCAGGCCGGGTTGCCCCCAACTGCCCTGCCCTGCCCTGCTGGCCTGATTGCCCCTAACTGCCCTCCCCTTCAGTCCTGGTTGCCCCTAACTGTCCTACCCTGCAGGCTGGGTTGCCCCTAACATCCCTCCCCTGCTGGCCCAGTTGCCCCTAACTGCCCTCCCCTGCAGGCCCCCAGTCCCCCAACTGCCCTCCCCTGCAGGCCTGGTCCCCCACAACGGCCATCCTCTGCAGGCCTGGCCACCCCCATTGTCCTCCCCTGCAGGCCTGCTCCCCCACAACAGCCCTCCCCTACAGGACCGGTCGCCCCCAAGTGCCCTTTCCTGCAGGCCCAGTTCCCCCTAACTGCCCTTCCCTGCAGGCCTGGTCCCCCCCTAACTGCCCTCCCCTGCAGGCCATTTTGTGGTGGCCATCTAGTGTGTTGGAGTCATTGTCAATTTGCATACTGGTCATGACTAATCAGCATATCAAGGCTAATTAGCATGTCCAGGCTAATTAGCATATCCCTTTCTTATTACATAGGATACACCAATTTCAAATACATGGTACATTGGACATTCTTGAATATGATGAGTAATGTAATAAATGGTAAGCCTTTCAAGGCTATAGTACTTACGAAGGTTCATTAATGACTGTTTTCAAGGCATCACGCAAATCTGCACTTGTCATTGTGATCATGTTCACCTCCACGGCCACTCCTTTGGCCTTCATGTGAGCAATGTTATCATACTGGTCAGCAAACATGGGAACTCCCACCATAGGGACCCCATGATAAATACCTTCATAAATCCCATTTGTTCCACCATGAGTGATAAAAGCTTTTGCTTTGGGATGACCTGTTTGAGGGTTGGGTGAGAAGCAGATGAGGATTTCATTATATGTTAGAAGAATTTCAGAGAGAGATGGAGAAAAACTACAGGATAAAACAATGAAGAAGGCAGTATTCTCTATAGACGCTGAACACAGGGTTTATTGCTATCTCAGAAAACTGTGATCTCATCAGGAAATGAATTCACCCCTTCTGTGTTTTCTGGAAAGACTTTACAAGGAGGTGATATCTGAACTGTGGTTGAAATTTGAGAACTCAGGAGAGTCTTAACTGAAGGTTCTGCTTTGTGAACCAGAGGAAGCAGGAATCTCTCAATGGCCAATTATTTTGTTATATGTGAAATTTTAAAAGTACTAAATGTTGATTGAACTTAGCTGCTCTCAGTTACTTAACTTGTTCATCATCCAACTGTACAGCGTTTCCCCCTCAATCTTACCAAGAAGATCATTCTGGGGTATCCAGTCATAGAGCCGAGTATTGGCTCCTAATGTGGCTGGCTTCTTTCCTTTGTATCTCCATAAGACCTGTGGAAGAAAGTGCATTAATTTTACAAGTAAGAATGCACAGTTAAGGAATTTTAGGGCTGTAGAGTTATTTAAAAATCATGTAGTCCATTTTATGTGATATATAAGAGGTACAAAAGGGGTAGTTCGCAAACATTGATTGTATTTCCTTGAAAATCACTTTGCAAAAAGATGTACTGTATTTCCATAGTATTACAAAGGCTCAGTAGGCAAATGATCAAATGGGCCCAAATACAACATTTAAGTGTTTTGAGAAATTTGTACTTAAAGATGGTGTCAGTTATGCTCAATGTATAATGAGTTTCAGCTTTCATCTGGAAAGAGTACTATTGGTTAGCTGCACTTTCTCTCCAATTGGCAAGGTGGCTGCTAACTAGGATCGTAGGTTGTACTGACCTTCTGTGGAATCTGAGCGAGGGCTGAGGCAATGAGATTGGCTTTTTCTTCTGTGAGGTTTTTGACCATTGACCCCAGAGAGAACACCACAACTCCATGTTCACCTGAACTTTGGACAAATTCTTCCATTTCCTGTAGAGATAAAATTCTCTCTATCATGAAAGTACAGGACCACAGGGAAGAAAATCTCTTACATCCTATACAATAAAAGTGTAGTATGCAAAATGTCCCCTCTACCAGTTGTCCAGGAGTTTGACCAGGGGGTTGGGCTGGCCAGGGGAAGGGAGGGAGGCCCTGGCAGTGGTGGCAGCGGTGGCAGCAGGGGGCTGAGGGAAGGGAGGAAGTATGCAGCCAGCAGCCGGCAGTTGCTAGGGACCTACCAGTGCACGAATTTTGTGCACTGGGCCTCTAGTTTCTAAATAGGCAGCGTCAAGATCAGCATCAGAGAAATTGTTAGACTGGTTAGGTATTCTACCACATAGAACCATCTAATCTCTTTAAGAGAAAAATTGTTTCTGAAAACTATGGCTTAAATATATAATGAGTGATTACAACTAAAGGCATGGAGTCAAACCATTATCCTATATAATAAAAGACTAATATGCAAATAGACCAAATGGTGGAACAACCAAACACCGAACAACTGAACAACCAGTCGCTATGATGGTGTGTTGACCACCAGAGGGCGTGCGGTACATGGCAGGCATTGGCAGCAGGTGCCACAGTGCAGAACATGGCGGGTGTCAGCTGCAGTGGGATGGTGGAGCAGGTGAGCTGGGGCGCCAGAACAAGGTGGGGTGCCAGTTGCTGTCATCAGGGCAAGCCTCTGGTGGTTACTGCAAATTCTTTGCTCCCCACGTCGCGGTCCCACGGGGAGCTTTCATCTGCTGCTGGCGCTGGCCTGCTTGCACCCGCTGCCAGCACCAGAGCTGCCCCTTGCACTGGCGCCAGCCCCCATCGCTCAGCACTGTCAGCAGTTGTGAACTGCAGCTGCCAGCTCTGATTGCCCCGCAGGACTTCTCCACCTCCTCCTGTTCCTGAGGGCAATTGAGGCAGCAGCCACCAGTCGCACCCTCTGATGGTGCTGGCCCTCCTCGCTCCAGCTGCTGGCACTTGCCCCAATCGCTCTGCGCCATCAGCAGGTAGAAACAGGGCCAGCACTGTCAGTGCGTGGGAGCTGTGGTGAAAGTGGGGCTGTTGGCAGACAGGGGTCCAGGGGTCCAGGGGCCATGGAAGGAGGGGCCAGGCGGGGCTTTAAAGGATGGGCCAAGACCCACCCTTGTGTCCACGCAGCCTGGCAACCCACAGTTCCTTTCAAGGTGCATCAATTAGTACCAAATAAATAGGTAATAAGAGGCATATCTTCCCATGGTATGTGAAACTATTACTACCAAAGCTTAATTTTATGAACCAACAGAACTGTTTGCAAACTCATAAAAATATTACTTGGAGGGAAAACCCCCCAAAGGGATTTAGAACTAAGCTTTAAAATTTTTAAACATGCCAGTTTACAAGCAATAAGTTATTAATGACTTGATCTAACTTTCTGTTAGGAGTTTAGGATATTTGTCTGATATTTATTCTTTCCCTGATTTATAAGGCTAAATAGAACTTTTAAAAAAGGGATATACAATAATCGGTTTAAAAGGTGATAACACAGTCAAACACCTGCTATAATCATGATAAATTTATGAAACAGTGATTCACTCTCTTTCCACAAGAATGTGACACTAACTGCATGCCATTAATTTGAGCCTTAGTACAGAAGTAAAATATACATTTCTATGCAAAATAAAATTCATCGCTTACAGCTGTTCAGGTTGAACACTGGAAAGTCTTGGATTGGGGTTTTGCACATTGCAATCTATGTGAATGTCAATCTCTAGAGATGATGATGAAATCTCTTTGTAATTATTTGTGGTTGTCTTGTGATCACAGACATGTCTCAATATAAGGCTAGTAAAATTACCAGGGGAAAGATGATGCCATAAAAGTAGACTGCTATTTTTAGCTTAGTTAAACTTAGGAGAATATCTCTGAAATCACAGGAATTGGTGTTTTACCATTTTTATTTATCTTCTTAAGCATATGATTGAATAAAAAATATATACAGCACACACACACACACACACACACACACACACACACACATTAAAACTTACATAGCTACCTGTCTGATTTGGATTCTTGATTTAACTGTCTCCCGTTGCTTTTTTTTTATTTTTATTCTGCGTATTCAGTGACTGGTTTAGTTCTTTTTTTCAGAGATATAAGCCATGATTGGTATTCATTTGCTCAAATATCTATATTAGTAATTGGGTTTGAAATGGAAAAATTCTTCCCTCTTGTAAAACATATCTGAGTTGGTTTTATGAAATTGTAATAAACAAAATAGTGTGTCAAGGTGTTTTGTAGTAAGCCACAGAATGTGTCATGTCTCTTACTCTACCTTTATTTAGATATTGGTTAACTCTCTCCTGTAATAACACTCAATAGAATTTTCCTGAAGCTGTAACTGGTTGGTAAGAAAACCATATTCAGAATCCCGAAATGATATTTTAAAGTTAAATATGCATCTTAGCCAAAGCAGAAATCAAGAACGCTACTGGGAACACCATTTCTTCTGCAACCTTCAACAGAGATTATTTTGTTTACCTGCAACTCAAGCAAATGAGTGTTTCCTCACTCCCTTTGGATAAAGATAGTTAAATACAAGATAGTTATTACTCTGCTTACCTATTATTTCCTTTTGTTTCCCAATATTGTTTTCTTCCAACATTTCTGGCAGCCCATATGTATTCTTTTATAGCTTTGGATTGTGTTATACAATTTCCTTTTTTTTTATTCAAAAAACAAACAACCAAAAAAACTGACATCATGGTCTTAAAGAACCATTCCAACATTTGAGTTTCTTAGTTCTATGACTTCTAGTTATGTTGATGACTCCCAATCTATTTCTAATGCTCTGCTGGGACAGAAACCTTGTATTACTCATACAACTTCTAGAAATCTACATCTCAAAATTCCTTTGGCTCCTTAAAGTGAATTTGAACTCATAATTGTCATCTCAAAATAGTGTTTCATTAATTGTTTCTTTTCCTTTTATTTTGTTCATATATATTTTTTTAATTTAAGTTCTTTATTGTTTAATATATTATATGTCTCCTTTTTTCCCTATTGACCTCTCCCCGGCCACTCCCACCCCTAGCACATGTTCTCCCCCGACCTTCTCTGTGTCCATTGGTTATGCTCATATGCGTGCATACAAGTCCTTTGGTTGATCTCTTACCCTCCTCCTCCCCTGTTTTCCCTCATAGGTTGGACAGTCTATTCAATGCTTCTATGACTCTGGTTCTGTTTTTGTTCATCAGTTTATGTTGTTCATTATATTCCACAAAGAGTGAGATCATGTGATATTTATCTTTCTCTGACCGGCTTATCTTCCTCTTGAAAGTACCATGTGAATTATTTTGCCTTCAGCTAATTTTGTTTTCTTTATTGATTAAGGTATTATATATGTGTCCTTATCCCCACATTGACCCCCACCCCCACCCATGCCCTCACCCCCCTGGTGTCTGTGTCCATTGGTTGCTTATATGCATGCATACCAGTCCTTTGGTTGATCTCTCCCCCTTACCCCCACCCTCCCCAAAGATCTTTGATCATTTAGTTTACATGTGAATCCAAGTACCTACATCTGTTCAGCCACATGGTTGATGCTCATGAAATATTTGCAGCTTCCACGATCTCTCCCCCTTATCCCCACCCTTCCCTACCTTCCCTCTGAGGTTTGAGCATCTAATCGATGCTTCTGTCTCTGGATCTGTTTTTGTTCATCAGTTTATGTTGTTCATGTTATAATATTATAATATTAATATTATGTTATAATCCACAAATGAGTGAGATCAACATCTACACAATGAAATACTACGCTGCTGTAAAAAGGAAGGAACTCGTACCATTTGCTACAGCTTCGATGGCCCTGGAGAGCATTATGCTAAGCAAAATAAGTCAGAGAAAGAGAAGTATCACATTAATTGTTTCTTATTTCAGCAAAGGCCAGTGCTATCCAAGAAGCCATGTCTTCTGGAAATATTTACTTCTACTGACTAAATCCTGTGTAATCTACCCAACAGTTCTCACAAAAGCCTCATTATCATGCAAACAACCATAGTATGTGTCCCTATTCATAATTCCATCACGCTTGTTAAGAAGACTACAGCAGTCTCCTTAGTGGCTTTCAATTCTTTAGTTTCCTGTTTCTTCAATCTCGTACTCACACTATAGACCCACTGATATTTTTAACACGCTCCTTAAATCACTTCATTCTTCAGCTTAAATATCAAAGTAAAGTCAAAACAAAAAAGTAATATCACACATAAGAGACCCCTATGACTTGGAAAATTGATTTTGAGTAGCAAACTGAAGATACCAAGCAGCACATCTCTATTATTTAGACTGTAAAGTTTAGAGGGAAATCAGAATTTTTATCATATGTTACACAAAATCCTCCACTATAATAGACGTACCTTAGGTAACGGTTTGGCAGGTTTACAATGCAATCCTCCTACAAACTCAAAATTAGGTAAGTATGGACGAGGAAATTCAAAATCCCAATATGTCCTCATTAGCCAAATTTCTGCTTTCCCCATAGTTTCACATAACGTAGTGGGTCTTCCTGGAGAAAATAAAGTTGGGAGGATGTTATTAGCATATATGTTTGGTAGGAAAATAAATGTACCACTACTTTTCTGATGTACTATTAAGGAAAAAAGAGAAATCTAGGCCCTCAAGATTACCTATTATGTCTAGATTTTAAAAGGAAAGGGAATTTAAAGTAATATGGAACAGAGGGAGAGAAGGAGGTAGAGATAATATTTGGATAGTGAAAGAACAGTAATGTGTAAAATAGTACATTCAATAAAATAAATTTTATAAAGTCAAATAAGATTGAATAAAATAAATTCACAAAGATTAAATTAATAAAAAAATGTAACCACAGCTCCCAGTACTGATGAATTTTATGTTCACTGTTTCCCTCCAATTAAATGGCAGATGATACATTAACCCCATCATATTAGCACCAAATCACTTCTCAATAGTTTTCTAATTTCCTGTCAGGAATATATTTCCACCATCTAGATCAGTGGTTCTCAACCTTCCTAATGCCGTGACCCTTTAATACAGTTCCTCATGTTATGGTGACCCCCAATTTTATTGTTACTAATTGAACATAATTAAAGCATAGTGATTAATCACAAAAACAATATGTAATAATATTTAATTATATATGTGTTTTCAGATGGTCTTAGGTGACCCCTGTGAAAGGGTCGTTCGACCCCCAAAGGGTTTGCGACCCACAGGTTGAGAACCGCTGATCTAGATTCTTATATTTTTTCATTTACTCATATTGTTGAAGAATCCCACCAATATCAGTTTACCTTATCTTCCTGAGACAAATCCAATTAACGTCAATCCATTCATCCTTTTTTTTTCTTGGTAGGAATTATACCCAGTATGACTCCTTTTAGAATGTGAAGTATAGGTTACACATTACCGATATCACACATTTATTTTAATGTTGCCTTTAAATGGTATTTCTTGAAAGGGACAGAGTCTAAGTATTAATTTTAGAAGATTTGTTGGAAGAGTATTGGCAAATGACCAAGTCAACCATTTTTATACACAGAAAACATGTTTTGTATCTAAGGAAAGAAAATCCTCCCTTCAGGTGACAATCCTCCTTTCTTGAGGATTCTAATAGAAATTAGTGATCATATAAACCCCAGGTTAGGTAGCCCCTTTTTAGTCATTATTTTGTATGTTTGAATATGTGTCTCAGGTTGTGTAGTCAGATGCTCTAATTTGATAATGAAGAAGCATTGCGCAAAGACACTCAGCTTGAAGTTGGCAGGAATTAGATGAGAACACCGCCTCACAGCTTCTATGCCAAAACATTTATGCCCTTTAGAAGTCTTGTTCCATTTGTGTGATAGCCTCTTGATTAGCAACCCCCTAGGTAAAATTATTGTGCATAACCTGTAGGCCACATTTTAAGAAAGATCTAACTTAAAGTATTCACTGAAAATCTGTATCTGCAGCAGCACAGTATCAAATCTAAAGCCAATCAAAAGTGAAGAGAATGAAATTGAGCAAAAGTATGCAGAAGTTCATAAATAATTTCATAAGACATTTTATATGTCATACTGAGAAATTATGAAGCAAAAATATAGAATTAAAATTCACCACCCATCTTTTCCCCATCATTATATTACACAAAATGAGTGATGAACACAGTGGAAAATTGTGAAAATAACATGTAATTAATAAAGGGGCTGTTACATTTTAGTTACCATGTCAATATTGTTATTGTTTGAATATATTTTTATTATTATAAAAAATATATTTCATAGAGGATGGGAGAGGGAGAGGGAGAGGTATAGGGACAGAGAGAGGGAGAAGGAGAGGGAGAGAGAAAGAGAAACATCAATGATGAAAGAAAGAGAATCATTGGTCAGCTGCCTCCTGCACTCCCCCCTCTGGGGATTGAGTCCTTAAGCCCGGCATGTGCTCTGACCAGGAATCTATCTGGAACTGTGACCTCCTGGTTCATAGGTCAATGCTCAACCACTTAGCCACACTAGCTGGAAGAATATATTATTTTAATCCTACATGTGAGTCTACTGAAATGATTTTTTTAAAGAATTCTTAGAGGTAGCCTGACTTTATGGCAAAATGGCTCATGTAGATGAGATATACAGGTGAGAATTTCGTGGGAGACAGTTACCAGTTTCTCAGAAGTAAGTCATGTTAGCTGGTTTGATATTGATAGACAACTTTTCTAGGCTCCCTAAGTTATTAATTTCATTCCAAAGGCATGAGAGTAAACTAACTTATATAATTTCTGAATCACTGTTTAAAAATTAATACTTTACAATACATTTATATTTACTTATACATAAATAAATTCATATCTTAAAAACAATTTTTGGGAAGGTCAAGATATTTCCCATATACCCTTGTTTTGGCAATTATGCATAAAATTTCTATAACCATACATTTGCTAGTTTTTGTTTGAACATAAGTTTTCAACTCCTTTAGTAAATACAAGGAACACGATAGTATGGTAAGACTATGTTTAATTTTGTAAGAAACCTCCTAACTGTTGTCTAAGGTGGCTGTACAATTTTGCATTTCCACTCATGAAAAAGGAGAGTCTTTGTTTCATAACTCACCAGCATTGGGTGTTATCTGTCTTCTACATTTTGGTCATTCTAAAAATGTGTAGTGGTATCTCATTTAAATTTGCCTCATGAAAAATGATATGGAGCATTTTTAATATGCTTACCTATTATTTGTCAACTGTATATCTTCTTTATCAAGGTATTTGTTAATGTATTTGGCCCATTTTAAAATTAGGTTTTATATTTTCTTATTGTTGAGTTTAAAAATATTTTGGATGAGTCCTTTATCAGACATGTTTATTGCAAATATTATCTCCCAGTTTGTGTCTTATCTTTTCATTTTCTTGTCATTGATTTTCACAAAATAGAATTTTTAAAATTTATAAAGTTCAGCTTATTCATTGTCTTTCATGGATTTTACCTTTGTTGTTGTAGCTAAAAAGTCCTTGCCATACCCAAGATCATCTAGGTTTTTTCCTATGTTATCTTTGAGGAGTTTTATAGTTTTGAATTTTACATTTCTATGGATAGTTCATTTTTGAGTTAAATTTTGTGAAGCTTAAAAGGTTTGTGTTTATATTTATTTATTTTTGCATGTGGAAGTCCAGTTGTTCCAGCATTACTTTTAAAAAGACTATCTATCTATTGAATTGCCTTTGTTTCTTTGACAATGATTAATTGACTGTCTTGTCTGTGTGTTTCTATTCCATAGATCTCCTCTGTTTCACTGATCTTTTTGTCTATTCTTTTGCTAATACCACACTGTCTTGATTACTGTAGTTTTATAATGTGTCTTGAAATTGGATAGTGATCATCCTACAACTTTGTTTTTTTCCTTAAATATTGTGTTGGCTGTTCAGAATATTTTGCCTTGCCATTAAACTTTAGTCAGTTTGTTAATATCCATGTAATAACTTGCTGGAATTTTTATCAGGATTTTATTGATTCTTGGATCAAGTTTGGAGAAACTGACATTGACAATATTGAGTCTTTCCATGGACATGGAATATCTGTCCATTTATTTAGTGTTTTGATTTTGCTCTTCAGAGTTTTAGTTTTCCTCATATAGATCTGTATTTTATTTTGGGGGCACTATTATAAATGATAGTGTTTTTAATTTCAAATTCCAATTGTTCATTACTGGTGTATAGGAAAGCGATTGAGTTTCCCATATTAATCTCATATACTGTACTCCTGCTATGATTTCTTATTAGTTCCAGGAAGGGTTTTTTTTTTGGTACATTCTTTCATATTTTCTACATAAAGTTATGTGTCTCTTAATGATGGGAATATGTTCTGAGAAATGTATTGTTAGGCTATTTCTTATTGTGTGAACATCATAGAGCATACTTACACAAATCTAGATGGTCTAGCCTCCACCACACTTAGGCTACATGGTATAGTTTATTGCTCCTAGGGTACAAACCCATAAAACATATGTCCGTAAGTTATTTATATGCACAAAATACTGTAGGAAGTTGTAACACAGTGGCAGGTATTGTGCATCTAAATAAATCTAAACATAGAAAAGGTAATGCATTCATATGGCATAAAAGATTTTAAAAAATGGTATACCTGTATAGGGTTCTTATTATGAAAGGAGCTTGCAGCACTAGAAATTGCTCAGTGAGTCAGTGGTGAGTGAATGTGAAGGACCGAGACATTACTGTACACTATTGTAGACTTTATAAACACTGTACACTTAACCTAAGCTAAACTTATGAAAATATTTTTCTTTAATAATACATTTACCTTAGCTTACTTTAACTGTTGTACTTTATAAGCTTTTTAATGTTTTCAACTTTTTAATTCTTTTGTAATAACAGCTTAAAACAAATACTTTGTACAGCTATACGAAAATAATTTCTTTTTTATATACTTATTTTGTAAGCTTTTTATATTTAAATTTTTTAACTTTCTAAGCTTTCTTGTTATAAACTAAGGCAAACACATACATTAGCTTCTTAGGCCTACAAGGGACAGGATGATCAATATCACTGTCTTCCATCTCCACATCTTGTCTGTCTGGAAGGTCTTCAAGGGCAATATGTGCATGGAACATTGTCTTGGAAATTTTATGTCTCCCATCTAAGTGTGATTCCCTTAACACTTTAGTGTTAAGTTTTTTAAATGTTATATAAATACAAGTATAGATTTGGAGTGACATTAATTACTATGTTTCATATTTTGTTTTGTTTTGATAGCAATCTATTAATTATCAAAGTATCTTACAAAATGACTAGATGACTGTAAAGAAAAAAGTAACCATAATAAAATGTTTCTCACTTCCCCTTCCCCGTTAATACTGCTAACAGTTTATTGCTATAAATTATAGACTTTTAAATAGAAACTAAAGTTTTAAAATATAGTCTTCTCGTTTTCCTAGACTATTCTTAAACTTCCCAAGTTTCTTTTAATAACTACTTTAGAATGGAAAGCATAACCTCTTACCTAATGCTTCACTGTAAAACTGGTCCCAAAGCTGAATATCGTATGGCTCGAGCCAGAAGTCAAAGAAAAGGGAAAGCATTACATTTTTTACTCTCTCCAGGAAGGTCATTCTGTCTGTAAGTCCCCCCATGACAACAGGGACATAGGAAGGTGGAGCTGGGAGTTTCCCACAGTATTTCTCCACAGTGCCACCCATAAAGAACCTCAGTGTGTACACAAAAGGGACTTCCAGCAACTCAGCAATCAGCTCTCCACAGGGCATCACAGGGTCTATAACCATTACATCGTAGTTGGTTTCCCGGAGTTTCTTCATGATTGCCTGGTTGTAGACTACACTCTCACACAGAAGTTTTAAATGTCCAGTTAGTTGAAGAAGAAATTCTTGCATTTTTCTTGCTGACTGCCAGCGTGACATTGTTGGCATGACAGTAGTAGCTAAGTCTAAGAAGTCATTTAGTTTATTTGCAAAATAATCTCCCTCCTGAGATATAGGGATCACCTCAAAGTTCAGTGTGGAAGGCTTACTGTAGTCAATGATGAGCGAGTCTGCAGAAACCAACACAGTCACCTCATGCCCCCTGTCTGTGAGATTCTCCAGAATGATCTTTAGATTGAGCCAATGGCTCATGTCACAGGGCCACACCAGGACCTTCCCACAGGATCCAGAGCCAGTGCAGCAGAGGTGCAGCAGCAGAACCGCTGAAATCCACTTCTCAGACAGCATGGCAGAGTTCTTTCACCCACTGCGCTGCTGCGGGTGAATATTTGCTGGGCACAGAGGTGAAGTGGCAATTTAAACATAAAGTTAAAAATTAACTGCTCTGGTGACTGACAGATGCACGGAACTTTGTCAGTGTTGTTGACTGGGCCCACTACAACATGATACTTGTTCAGGAGAAGATCTGAAATATTTAAATATTTTGTAGGAAATGTTTGCAGTATTCTAGCAGTTTGTTTTAATATGTTAAAATAGAAAAATATTTTTAATTGGCAATTTTTAAAATATAGTAGAGTAACCCATTTTTTTGGATCTAGTAAATAACATGGTATATCTTATGGAACAAGATGATTGATAATTTGGGAAAACATAAAGTATAGGTTTTGTCGGAAAGATGATTACATGCTGGTATTGCTGGTATGTGGATAAGACATATAGTACGTAATAACAGGAGGAATATACTAAATATTATAGTGTTTCAAGGCACCAGAAGAAGCTGTCACTCCACTGTGAAGAAACTTAGACAGAGGTTCAGGTTGGAGGAGGCATTTCAGCTGAGCCCAGATGGCAGGGTGAGAGGAGGGTTCTGAAGGTAAATGGAGGAAAAAGAATGACTATAGGGAAATCATGGCCACTTAAGTAAACATCACTTCAGTATATTTAGAGTTGAGGTTAACTCAGAGCAGTGAAGAAAAAAACAAACTTTTTTTTTTTTCAAATTGAATTTATTGGAGTGACATTGGTTCATATAATTATATAGGTTTCAGATATACAATTCTGTAGCACAGCATCTGTATATTGTATTTTGTGTTCACCACCCTGTCAAATCTCCTTCCATCATCATTTATCCTGGTTTTACCCTATTCTACCTCCCTCCACCTTCCTTTTTCTCTAATAATCACCATACTGTGAGTTTTCTCTTTTTTGCTTAATCCCTTTACCTTTATCACCCAGTCCCTCAAAACCCTCCCCCTCTGAGAGCTGTTAGTATTTTCTCTGTATCTATAAGCCTCTTTCTATTTTGTCTGTTAGGTTATTTGTTCATTAGATTTCAATGTAAGTAAACTCATATGGTACTTGTCTTTTTCTGACTGGCTTGTTTCAATGAGCATAATATTCTTCAGGAACATAAATACTGTCGCTAAAGGTAGGATTTCCTCCTCTTCCTCCTCCTCCTCCTCCTCCTCCTCCTACTTCTTCTTCTTTTTTTTTTTTTTTACCACTGAGTAATGTTCCATTGTGTAAATGCACCAACGATTTGTATCTACTCATTTACTGATGGGCAATTGGGCTGCTTCCAAATATTGGCTATTAAAATAATACTGGAATGAACATAAGGGTGCATAAATTCTTTCAAATGAGTGTTTCCGGATTCTTTGGATATATACCTAGAAGTGAATCACTGGGTCATAAGTTCAATTTTTAATGTTTTGGAGGACTCCATATTGCTTTCCACAGTAGCTGTACCAAACTGCATTCTTACCAACAGTCATGAGGGCTCTCTTTTCTTCACATGCTTGCCAACATGCTGTTTGTTGATTTATTGAAGATAGCTCTTCTGACAGGTATGAGGCGATATCTCATTGTGGTTTTAATTTGAATTTGCTTGATGATTAGTGATGTTGAGCATATCTTGGCCTTTTGTATGTCATCTTTGGAGAAGTGTCTCTTCAGGTCCTTTGCCCATTTTCTAATTGGATTGTTTATTTTTTGGTGTTGAGTTTTGTAAGTTCTTTATAAATTTTTATGATAATGAGTCTAGAAAAATTATGAAACACTAAAGAAAGAGTAGCTATAGGAAGAGTTTTTGGCCTGCAGTGTGTGAGTTAATGATTGCACAAGTCTGTGGAGATACCAATTTGACTCGTGAACGCTTCAATCTCAAGAGAGGGAGGGTGGTAAATTCAGAAATATAGATTTTTTGTATCCATCCATCCATTCAACCCAATTTGTCTCCAAATCCTTGAATATGTCATTCCTTCAAGAAGCAATTTTAGCATAAGTATGTGCCAGATTCTATACAATGCACAAGAAATAAAGAGATAAGTAAGATACAATTCCAATTCAAAAGGAGTTTACAGATTATTGCAGAAAATGTGTCAGTTAAGCCAACACTTATGGTACACCTATAAGGGAGATGGATCTTAGGTGGTAAGGGTGAACTGAGGAGGGACAAAGCTTATGAAGGAAGTTGTTTGGTGGAGGAAGGAAATGAAGAAATAATACTTTAAATCTCTAAGAATGATATTAGCTGTTTGAAAAGTATCATTTGGAAGTAAAGGATAATATTAATAATTCTGTGTTCTAAGTGTGACATAGTTATATCCAGGGTTATATTCAGTTATAAAATCATATACAATTCATTAATTTGAAAGACATATTATTGAAATTTCAAATTCCTTGAGAATGTTTCTGTTATATTGAAAAATAAAAATCCAGAGTATATTTGTTTAGAAGTTGCAAAGATAAATCTAGGGTCGGGAATTGGGGAGCTTTACTCTTTTGCACAATTAGGCATTGCATAAGTTCTGTTGGTAACTGGTAGAAAGCAGAGTCCAAACAAGCCTCAGAAGCAGGAAGATAGGACAGGGCTATAAATCCACTAGAAGAACGTTGAGGTTATGTTATAATCTTAGAGGATGAAAGTCCTTTTATACAAGATATGTAACTCAGAAATGATAAAAAAGGACTGATAAACTTATCTACTCACTATATAACAAGGTTCATGATACATTATAAACAGCACAAACAAAGCTGGAGAAGAACAATGAAATATAAATACAGCTCAGATATTGACCTCAAAATAAATGTATTATTGGATAAATATCTAAGTTACTTTATTATATAAGAAAACTAAAGACTCATGTTTCCTAGAGAATTCCTTTGCATAAATTTAGAGCTATAGACATGTTTTTATGTCCAATAGAAATATTTAAAATTCTGGGTGAAATATAAAATTGCTAAGAAAGTAAAAAATCAGAGTTATTAAACAAAGTAAAAACAGGAATTCTGACGTACAAACTTTTACCAAAAGAGGACTTGTTTCATTGAATAATACACAGTGTGTGTCAGGAGTGAGAGAGTAGGAAAATCTGAACGCTTACCAGTCTCCCCAGCCCACACATACGTTCATGTAATGCTAGATTCCCAAGGTCAGTCCTCACCTGTACAGATGAATTCCTTACCACAGACGTTACAGCAAGGAAAATCTCTGGGTTTCACTTGGCATTCCTTCCTAAGAATCCTTAGCACAGTCAGCTATCATATGGATTTCCAATTCACAGTCAAACTAGAAAAGCCTCTTTGAAGAAATTCTGACCCTGGGCTTCAAAGGCTTCTCCCAGAAAAAGTTCCAAGTTGAATTAGCAGCTCCCTTTTACAAGCAAACAGGGCTTCATAACTGAGAACCAACATAGCGACAGGCACCAGAAATACAATCATTTGAAATATTATTCGCAAGGTTCTAGTTAGTCAAAGGTTGAAGTAGTTCATTACTGGAGTATTATTAGATAACATAATATATTTTTCCTAGAAAATTTGACCCCAAAGAGAAGTAAAGGCAAAAATGAATAAATGGGATTATATCAAACTTAAAAGCTTCTGCAGAGCAAAAGAAACTGACAACAAAACAAAAAGGTAACTGAAAAATGGGAGATGATATTTGCAAACAACAGTTTTGACAAAGGATTAATATCCAAAATATATACAGTTAAATGAGTCCTCACTTAACATCATCAGTAGGTTCTTGGAAACTGTGAGTTTAATTGCAATTACATATAATGAAACCAATTTTACCATAGGCTAATTGACATAAACAGTAGTTCTATGCATATTTCTGATCACAGAAACATCAAATACTTACAAATGAAGACCCCAAACCCTTAGAATATTACATATTGAGTTAAATGTGAGTATATTTAAGAAAGATTAATAAAAGCAAGTAAGATAATTATTTTCAACCTACTTATTCCAGCTCAGGGTCATGGTGGCTGGGGCTCACCCCAGCAGCTCAGGGCACAGGGCAGGAACCCACCCACTCTGGACAAAGGAGGCCAATCTATCAGAGGATGCACACACACACTCACACACACACACACACACACACACACACACACACACACACACACCCCTACCTCACTTAGACTGGGACAATTAATTCACCTAATGTGCACATCCTTGGTGCGAACAGCGACCCCTGTTGGGAATGTATAATATTTTCTCTCATTGATTATGACAAAACAAAATTGAATGAAACAATTATTCAAGAACCTGCTGAATTTCTAAATTGCCATGGCAATGTAAACAGGCAGGAGAGGCCAAAAGCACCTGGGCCCGGGCCTTTCATACTTTTCCTGTGGATGCAACCTTGTATAAGGCAGAGCAAAGTTCTGCACCCAGGACCAACCATGCACTCCTCTATGAAAACTCAGACAGTTCGTACCAAAATATTTAAAAAGATTTTAAACTTGCAAAACAAACTGTGTCACAAGGATTTCACAGCAGTGTCCTAAGGAAAGTTGGATGAGAGAATTCTCACAAGACACACCAGATCACCACGCACAAGGGTGGGCGGCCTTGCTTCTTTCTCTTCCTTATGCATGACTTCTAAAATTAAAATCCTGGAGATTCTCGAGCGGCTTACTCCTGGGAACCATACGTTTCTTTATGTAGAAGATTAACTATTTCTAGGTTCTTATCTTGTTCAATGACATATTTCGTGAGCACAGCAACTAATCTTTCTGAGTTTCTAATGCTTTGTGTCTAAAAGGCAGATAATGATAGTTCTTGGATGTTTTTGTTGTGGATTAGCAACATCTGCAATGTACCTATCAAAGTGCTTGGTACCAAGCAGGTGTTTATTAAGAGTTTCTATTTATTGTTAGCAATAACGATGGTACAGGTAGC